GCATCCTGGTGTATCCAACATTGCTATTTTAACCCATCTAAGGACGATGATTTTACTTACACTTTAATGGGTTAACAAAACTACCAATGTACAATACAGTAAACTGCCAAACTCTCTAACCCATGAAAACACAATGTGCCCAGATGCCCCATACTTTGTTAATTTGCAGTTTATACAGTCCAAAGTCAGATAATTTTAATTGTCAAAAGGATTAAGTGATTAAGTCTGGTGCCTTTACCATCTGGTGCATAACTTGTTTATGTGAGTATTGCATGGTGGTATAAAGGCTGACTAGATACTGTAATATAAATGAAGATTTTTCTGTATTACTATGATCATGTATTATCGTAGTATATTCAATTATTGTTGCATGGAATATATGTTGGTATATAATACCTAAGTTCAAAAGATTCCGTCTTTAAATATTTAGGATATTGATTTATAATAAAACGTGTTTTAAATGCCTATATAAACCATTTTGTATTTATGCTATGCCTTTATATTTGAAACTATTATCTCTATTAAACTATGACAGTCTATGGGTGGTATTTCAACGAAATATCTAAAGTTTGACATGCAAGTTTATTCGCTTTACAATGTAATTTAATACGGCTGACTAAAGTTCAACCCCACAAGCGGCAAGCCTCGTTGTGCTTGAGAGACGTACAGCCGGATATTATGTAGATTCCACGATAGTTGGCATAGTTCATGCATAAAGTGCTTCTTATTCTCTACACTCTGTAATTAATATACTCGCACTATTTGAAAATAACGCTTTGATCAGTGTCAGTGCTACAAATCCTATAATCCCTACAATTTATCATTTGATATTTACAGATCGAGTTTATATTTTACACAAAGAAATTCATTGTTCTCATGCGTCGATCTGTTCATTCACAATTGGGTTTTCGCCGCTTTTTCGCACAGTTTTACTCATTGTTTACGGGGGCAAAATAAGAATACACTTACGACAATCAATTTCTTCAGTCTTGAAATGTTTCTCGCAAACATACAGCTCGCCTGTGTCGATCTGGCGACGTAAACTCTTGTCCACAACTCGATCCTTTGTGATTACGTTCAGCCAAGCCTCTCGAAACGAGAACTCGTCTTTGCCAGACAGAATTCTAAAGATTCCGAGCCCAACATGCTTTCTGCTGGTTCCGCAACCAAATATTGAGCAATTAGCTCCGGGCATTGCAGAAAATGTCGCCAAACCAACTGCTTTTTTCGTTTCGCAACATATGGTAATCCTACACTCTTTGTATAGAATTACTATGGCCATTGTTTACGATCTGCACGTAATGCACTATATGTTCCACGTGACCAAAAATCCAACATAATTCGTCACGTGACCCGGCCTTCCAAACCCGGTCAGTATATATTAACTATGACCCATCCAAAGCTGAACTGATGAATTAATCGCCTCATATTGGAAAGCTTTTGGAGATTGTTAAAAGTTTCAGTTGCAACCAAGTCCTGCAGTAGTTCTACTCCTTTTTTAACCGTTGTTTCTTCGCTGAAATCCGATCGCCGATGAAGCGATCTGTAATGGACATAAAGTCCATTTTTTTAAAATATTTCGATTTTCCCATATTCTGTAACACAAGCATGACAACACGTTTTCCCATTCCTCCATTCTAACAACAACGCTTTTCCAAAACAAGAGTGTTTTAGGTCAAGTTTTTCTACTAAATTTGCGTCGTCCATAGATATAAACACTTTTGACAGTTTTGAGAATAACAAATTAACAATTATACATGCAACAATAACAATTAACAAATTTCTCACAAACTCCTCCCCCCCCCCCGGTATTTTGAACTATTGGGCGTGACTTCTGGCAGAGGTTTCCCGCTTTCTTCGATAACACCGAAACCTCTGCGGAGGAGAGAGCTGCCAAACCCAGCAGGCGGTATTTTAGACCGCCTGCCATGCAGGCTACAAGTCGCAGGGATTCAACATACGTCTTTTTAACGTGAACTACTGCAACATTTCGGAAAATTAACCATATTTTTTACAGTTTCAAAATTTCTGGACTTTTAAGTCTTGTTTCGTAATTATTAAAACTTCGCTTATATATTTTTCCTTAATGTCATGACTGCTATAGGATCGGTTTTTAAAACTCTTCGCAGGGTTGTTTGCAAAAAGTATAAACAAAAACGCCGCAGGCGAAGCATGCGATGGTTGAAAGAGATCATTCAAACGCTCGTGCGTGGTGTTAAATTTTATTTAAATCTTTCAAATTGTGCTTGCAGTTTGTATTTTGAGTAGGAGTGTATACTAAAACAATTAGACAACTCATAATCGTGGTCTATGGATAGACAACTCGGTCTCGTTGTCTAATTGTCAAATAACTTATTGATTGCAATTCTTACAAGTACATATTATTTGTATTAGGCCTACTCTGAAAAAGGATTGATGACTGGTATACCTGAAGTGAATTTGTCGCTGAAGTGAATAAAACATTCCAGATGGTCTCTTAATCTGAGGAAAGCCTTCAGTTCAGAAAGTCGTTGTGAAAAAGAATTCTTTACTGATAATGAAACATTTTGGTTCTTTTGGTGTATCTCACCCAGCTTTAAAAATTGACTGGCATGTTTCTCTAGAAACATCAGTGTGGCAACTGTAACCTCCCCATTCTCAACAGACTTTATTAGATTATCAAGGCACGACTCTGCAGTGGCCATGATGATTTCGCAGTCACCCCATTTCCTTAATTCCTCCTTACTACTGGATCTGCTCCCTTGAAAATTAAAAAAAATACAGTCGAGTTGAAACTACACAGTCGCAAAAATCACTGCAAAAATGTAACTATAATATCTGTAACTATTTTACTTTCATCAATAACATTGTTAAGTATGTTTGGATATCGATTAGGGGTGCACCGGAATCAATTTTTTAAGTTCCGGCCGGAACCGAATCTGGCCGGAACTGGAAAAAAGTTGCGGCCGGAACCAGAACTGATTTATTAAGCCGTTCATAGTCATATGTCATTAAGGAGAGAGCTCGCAAATGTCAGAATAAAAGGATTGACAAACGTTAAACGCCATGATGAAGTTTTAATGGTGTATATTTTACTTGTGTAGTCCAAATTTCGTCCTACTGTGAACTTTTGTTAGATACAAAAACGTTTGATATTCTATCTCTCTGAAAATAACATAGTTCCGTTCCCGGCCATGCTTTATTATTATTATTAGTTCCAGCTGGAACCGGAACTCTGAAAAATCGAGGTTCCGGTGCACCTCTAATATCGACAAACAAAATAAATATAAACGACAAAACAAATTCAACACAAACGGCAATGCCTTGTTTTTTTCAGTCATTCGATTAGTCGCTCGATACAAATTTACGGACGAAAGCGACCTTTTCAAAAATACGCACATATTTCCCTCGACTACCATATTTGCAACAAAAATGCATAAAATATTCAGTCTCCCTCGAATTTTGATTATTAAAAATTTTAATGTAATTGTTATTGATTTCTTTAAATAGAATTCATCAGACTGGATTATTTCTTCATGAACTTGCTTTCCTCTGCCACTCTATATACTAATAAACTTCTGACGTGATTTACTCAAAACACCGAGGAACTTATAAGCCGCATATTTATAATTCTGGCAGTGAGCAAGTGCATATTCTGTCTCACGGCAGCGAGTAGTTAGGAAGTGCTAACATGCTTATGCTGAGCATCTTTTTGTAGCTATTTTTACTGTCAGAATACAGAAAGTGTCACACTCTTGCTTCTATATTCTGTTGTCATTTTCTGTAATTTTGTGTTGTTTTGTATGTTACTCTGAGTGTATATCCACACCGGGCAGGCTGAAAAGTTAGCCTGCCACGGTGGGAATCTCATCCGCGACCTTTGGGATACTAGTCCAATGGTCTGTCAACTGAACTGCGAGGCCAAGTCTGTTCGAGTGTGCATGTGGTATTTCGGAACTAAGTCTAGTACCTTCGATACCAATGTGTTCTATTGGTCCTGATATTTTTTGGTGTGTTTTGATGTTATGACCGGGCAGGCTGAAAAGTTAGCCTGACCACTGTAGGAATCGAACACGCGACCTTTAGGATACTAGTCCATACTAGTCAAAATAACATAAAAAACATTATATTCACCTGACACACGAAATATATTACTGTAATTTGTTCTGTTTTTATGTTTCTTTTATACCGTATGATAATCCTTATATTTAACACATGAAAGCTGCAAAATTTAAATTTATCGCATTAATTACCTATAAATCAGGAATGCTGCAGAAAAACAGAACAAATTGCAATATAAAGCATGA